TGTTCTATTGTTCTACCCTACTTGTCACTGTTCTATTGTTCTTCCCTACTTGTCACTGTTCTATTGTTCTACCCTACTTGTCTTTGTTCGGGGCTTGGATGCCCGGCTCGCCCCAGCGTTGTGTCCATGGGACAGGCTCTCTGTGCCAAGTTTCCCATGGGGCCGGGTCCTATCAGGGGACTGACAGAAAAGTGGGAGGTCCCCTTTGCTGGATAAGCTGAGAGTATTGCAAAGAATTTATTGAGAGTATTGCAAGGAATATGCCGAGAGTATTGCAAGGAATATGCTGAGAGTATTGCAAGGATCTTGAAGATGTCAAATCTCTGTAGCAGTAAATGTTTTTAGAACCATCCCCGATGTCTGATTGGTCCAGGTGGGTCCACTGATGGGTTGTGTTTTTCTCATGTGCTAAACCAGATTAGGCTTGTCAGGTAGGTTGTGTGGTGGTAGGTTGTGTGTGGTGGTAGGTTAAGCCCTGGTTTCACGCAACGATAAATTGTATCAGATTCGTCGTATGAGAGAACTGTTCGTTTTATCAAACTGTGTTGTCTGTTTACTCGTTCCAATCTATCGTCCAGTTTTCTATCGATCGAGGAGATTCCTCGTCATAAAGCTACCATGTCTCTTTGCGGCAACAGCGATTTGCCTGCTCTCTATGTGAAGGTTTTGAGCTCTGGACCTCATGAATAAAAAGTGAACACTGTACCTCTAGATCACGAGAGCCCCCCTTCCCCAGTACATTTTGATTTAGCAGAACAGTGTCTTTAGAAAAGGGTGGCCATACTAGGCCTACCACCGTGTTGTGTGTAGAACCGGAAGCTAGATTACGCACCCAGTGACCTTGATGCACAGCTTCTCCATTGACGATCAACTATATCATAAAATTGCTAAAATATATATATAATAACGCACCAAATCAGGTTTTCCTCGAGCAACTTTGCTTATTTTGAGACGCTGATTCTGAGTATGAAATCAGTTTTCAACTACAATAATTATTTTTTTAAATTTGAGCCCTGAGTTTAGTTCTGCGCGGCGGCAAATTTCAAAGTTAATCTACGCCACAGCGCGTCTCCCTCAAATGTGACCGTGATCGCACGGAAAATACCAAGCAGCGCTTGATTTCTCGACCGAGTCTCCAAACCATCGTTCAATCGTCCAAATTTTGTACAATTTTGTGGTTACACATAACGATTTATCGTATGATCGCTATATCATCCAATGTTTGTACAATTTATCGTTACGTGTAACCGGGCCTTTAGGTTTGTCAGGTAGATTGTGTGGGGACATGTTGGATGTTTGTGTGGGGACATATTGGATGTTTGTGTGGGGACATGTTGGATGTTTGTTGACATGTGGGGACATGTTGGATGTTTGTGTGGGGACATGTTGGATGTTTGTGTGGGGACATGTTGGATGTTGGTGTGGGGACATGTTGGATGTTGGTGTGGGGACATGT